ACAAGCTATTTTCCAAGAAAAAAAAATAAAGCTGTTGGTTAATTAATATATGGAAAAAATGGCAGTATAAAAAAGGCTAATTAAGCTGTCAACTTTCATAGTTGCTCACAGCTGCTCAGCAAGGTGTGTACATAAATAAGAAGATATGATCCTTGTATTCTGCAGCTCTAGTGACTTTTAATGCAAAAAAGTCTTCATGGATGGGTCAGATCTAAATTGCTGGGTCCTGGGAGGGTCCTGTCTCCTGTGCTGGAGCTTTCTTCACCTTGCAGGTGGCAATAGTCTGATAGTGTCTTAGGTAGCCTTTGCCTCTGGTCAGTGCCAGCTCATTGTGTGTTTTTTGTAGGAAAAAGAGGGAAAGTGAAAAGCTCCTGCAGCAGCAAGCCCGTTAGTTTGTGCACAGACCATCCCCTCTTGCTGCTGTTGCCTCCCAATGCCTCTCATTTGGAATAGTCTCCCTTCCTACATGGGAGCTGTGTAGTCCTGCGCAGAGCAGGATACAGTGTTTGACCCCCACAAGTACTTTACAAGAACAAGTACTTTGGCTTGTGTTTTGTGTAATGATGTCATTTATCACTAAGACAGATATTCATTTACTTAGTCTGAAATTTTTCAGCATCAGATTTATGGTTTTTTTTTTCTTCTGTTTTGAATATTGATGTAGTACTTTCCTTCCGTGACTATGTTGTGTCTGCCAAATGGTGTCTAGACACTAAAGCAAATTGACTAATTAGTGCAGTCACCTCAGTCACTCAGCTTTGGCATTTCTATATCCATTGTGTTACTGCTCTTGAACCAATAGATACCTAAACACAAGCAAAGAGAGAGGATTGCCAGGAGGTTCAGACTTTACCTAACATCCCTGACACAGGTGCAGAGGATGGGAGCCATAGCAGGACAAGTAGTTGCCACCACTTGCTTTGACTCCGTAGCGTAGTTCAATGCAATGAGCACAGATACAGATTCAACGTTTGCTCAGTCTGAAGAGTTTCATACCTACCCCTTTTACCACCACTAAGAGAGATTTCTGTCACTTGAGGCTCAATCTCTATGCATGAAGTAGCCCAAACTGCAAGTATATAGAGAGAAAAAAAATCACTAAGAGAAGTCGCCACCTGCTAGCCCAGCAATAAGGGAACTTCTTGAGGAGGCATCATGTGTTTGCGTCATGGATCTGCTTTCCATTAGGCTATGATTTAGAGCACATCTAAATCAAAACTGCATTTTTAGAATGCGAATTCGTCACTGAGATTATATTTTTAAATTTTGCACTATGCACTTCTGCAGAGCCAATCCCAAAGTTCGATTAACTAACTTTAAAGAGGTGGGACTGATTAATATCAAAGATAATTTCAGAACATCAAAGAACTTTTATAAAACTTTGTGAATAAAAAAAACAGTGAAACCTAATAAATGTTTCCTACACAACAGACTGTGCTAATATAAAATCAAATTGTCTCAAAAACAGTATACAGGTTAAACACAATACTGCTATTAGCAAAGCTTATTTGTAAGCAAAATTTGAAAGTTTTGATTTATCCTACTGTGTATTGGAAGAGCCAGTATCATAAAGAAAACAAATTAGCATTGTTTTCTTTGTATTTTTAACTGTTAAAAATGATTTTGTTGGTGCTAATACAAAGCACTAGAGACCAGAAGCTTTGGGATTTTTTTTTCTCGGAAAGACCGTTTGCACAGATTTTCATTGAATTAGCCAATAGAATTATTCTTCTTTTTTTCAGTTCATTGTATACAAAATATTTCTATAAAATATGCAGCTAATTTTGGGGGGATTTACCAGGGCTAAGTTAGAATTCATTTAATTGTTTGTCCTTCGGTTTAGCAAACTGCTCAATCAAAGGCTGGAAAAAATCCAAGGCCTTAACCACAAGATACTCCCCACAAGTTGCTTCATGCTGAAAAAACCACTAAGTTAACACAGAATGCTTTTTTTTTCCCTTTTTCTTTCTTTCTTCCCCTTTTTTTTAGGCTAGTATCATCTTCCTGTTTTTAGTTATCATCCCTAAAAGGCTTGTTTTTACTCTCTAATTCTTACTACAATATGCAGTACTCTAGGGAATGATTTTATTTTTCGTAAGAATAGGCTAGTTTGTCTAGATAAGTAGCAGTAGCACTACTCACGCATTGCTGATGAGCACAGTTTTATCAGTATCGTTCTACTGGAAATGTTTGAGGCTAGATCTTCAGTAAACGTTAAACAGCAGACATTCACTAAAATTGATGGAGTTATTTAGGGAGGATGGAGATCCGTCTCCATTTTATTTATTGGTCTTTACTGCTTCTCTGGTGGAAGTTAGTCCACACAAGTATTAGGTGTAATTAACAGCTCAGGGGAGAGCAAGAACTTTGCAAGTGTGAATTTTGGATGACTCACTGCTGATAAGGAGTGCATGAAGATGTCTAGTAATATTGGGACTACAGCTGTTGGAACTATATTTGACTTATGAAAAGTTAAATGTGAAACATTGTCAGTTTATTAACTTTTATGACCACAAAAATTCAAAATTTAAAATTTCACAGGAAAATTTCTTCAGAACTTAACATAGAAATCAGGCTGTATACAAAAAGGATCATGAGAGAAATTCTTAGCATCCTTAAGGCAAACAAATTCTTTAAGCAGCCTGGATAATAAATGACTGTTAATCGGTCATTTTTGTCAGTGTTAATCACCGTGGTGTTAATCCACAGTAATTTGTAGTCCTTAAAAACACTGAGAGTATTACATGAATCAATGCACCTCTTAATCTAATAGAAAACTGGACAGTTAAGGATAATGATGTAATAGCCAAAAATGTTTTCAGGATTTACAAGACGGATTATATTATGTGAGGTCTGAAAGCATGTATTTGGGGTACTGAAATTTAAATGAGGAACCTCTGTGTTTTAGAAACTCAAAATTACTGCATGAGATAAGTCTCACTCTTGCTACCATGGCAAAGGTTCATATAAGATAGATCTAATATGCTGTCTTCTATCTTAAAACAGGTGTCACCTAGATATTTGTAGAATTTCTGAACTCCTTAGAAGTCGTACACAGTCTGTTTTCCCAGTTGCTCAGAAGGTTAGATCCCAGCAACTATCTTAATTACTGACCTAGAAAAAAAAATAATATAATGACAAAGGGTTTTCTATCTCATGCTATTCTCTGGGATCCATCTCAGCCTGTCCTCTGGTAGGCATAGTATATTTTCACCAAATAGGTAAACATTCTAGGAAAATTTAGCATGTATGCATATAGGACATCTTGAAGAAGTGGTAGAGAGCTTGACTTTCTAAAGCTCTTAAAGGCAACTAGTTTGTAGAGATGTCCGTTACAGGGTTAAATGTTTACATAAGGGAAGAGAAATAGTGAAATACTTACAGTTAACTATGGTTTGGAGACAAGCACCGTTTTGCTGGTGTCAATCAGAAGAGTTAGAAAGGGATGGAACTAAAAAGAGGTCATGAAAATAGCTTGAATAAATTCAGATGCAGTTTGAATACAGTCTATTTATAAGACGCTTTCTGAAACTAAGCCTTTGAACCTTTTGAAGTTTGCCTATCAGTACTTTCAGGCCAATTAATGATGTACATCCACACCCCATCTGAGATAGGTAAAACAATAAGGCAAACAAAAATAATTAGTCTCTAGAGCATGTCAACAAATAAATTAAATCTGTGCAAATCACTTGGCTCTACTAACTTTTGTGGTTTTGTTGCAAAAATAAAAAAGAGTATTTATATTGCAAATCTACATAATGCTAGATTGGTGCTGGAAAAGCATAGATGGTATTATTCTGATTTTGAAAGGGCTTTGCAAAGATTAAATGCTTTGTCCTGAAACAGCACTGCGAGTAGTTTTATTCAAGAGAATATTTTCATCCCTGTTTTACAGAGGAAAAGATCGAATGAGGTAGGCCAAGTAATTTTGTTCATTGAATTAAAGGTGTAAATTACACTTTTTAATTAAATAAAAATCATTGGTCCAAGCAGCATGCAAGCCTAAGTGAAGGCCCTAGCACAACTGGTGAGCAGGGCAAGATGTGCAGGAGGGTTGGCCATATGATGTGGGAGCTTGACTCAGATCAGTGAAGCATCTCAAATATTACAGTAGATCTGGATGGGACCGTATGTGGCCTTTAAAGTGCAAGTGAAGAGTTCCTGGCTGCTACTTCTTGTCTTTTCATTTCCAAAATAGTAATAACCTGCTAATTGTGATACTGTTTTCAATTTTAATCATAGGTAAGTAGTGATTTCCCCTCTTGGAAATTAGGTGACAGATGTAAGCGATGATGGCATGGCCATTCACTAGCAGAAATGGGTATGGAGCTCGCATTCCCTTCTTCTGAGCCCTAGGCACAATACTGTAGACTTCTGGTAAATGGACGTTTTACAAGAACAAATAGATCTCCGAGCAGTTGCTGCAGGGAGCTCTGTAGATGAAGCCATCTGGATCTGCCCACGACCTCGGTTCAGCCAGCTCATCCTGCAAAGCAGGGCTAAGCCCATTCCCTGAAACCCAGGGCAGCACTCGAGCAAGCAGACTCAAGTCATGGAGTAAGAGGGCTCCGTGAGCACAAACATATGGTTTTGTGTAGTCAGTAAAATGGCAGATACTGTGTTCTGTTCATATAGAATAACAGATTCCAACCAGAGTTCAGATCCAGGCAAAATGACCGCTCATGATAAATTCTCTCTTCGTCTTTTCTTGGCATGAAAATGCAGAACATTTCTCTTTAGAAAAGGACATACATTTCCCTGTTGTTCTGTCCCTTTTTACTGTCCTTCTTTTTCCTGACACTTTTTAGTTCTGACTGCAAAAGTGGATTTTGGAAAGACAGATGGGTTTTAAAAAGGTACTCTCATCAATTGAAATATTTCCACTATATGCTTAAGGTAAAGAATATTAAGCATTGCACAAAGAGAGAAAGTGTAAAAGGTAAAAATGCCTGCAGGCTTGATTTTTAAAGATATGCATTTTTTTTCTTACCATGTTGCAGATCTCGCCTTGCAGATTTTTTCACAAACTGCCAGCCTGAGTCACGGTCTGTTAGTAGCTGTCTGAAGGAGAACTATGCTGACTGCCTCCTCGCTTACTCGGGGCTTATTGGTAAGAACACAGGGAAGGGTGGGGGCTTGATCCATCTACAGAAACACCCCAGGAGGGTTGGGAAGGCCCATCTGAAATAGAATCAGTGGAAGGTAACGCTCCTGGTCATGCCGTACAATATGACTTTAGGAAAAAATTTCCATCTGTGTGGGCTGTGTGGTCTCTTTTCTACCTTACATAGATTCCTGGGGTAAAATTGTAGATTGGAAGCAAATTAAGGATAGAGGACAAGGAGAGAAAGGTGCTTGAGTCTGGAGAAACAAATGCAAGTTAAGCTTACCTAACAAGACTTATTAAAGTGTTTAATTTGGACAAGACTCAGAAGTAAGAATTTTAAAAGAAAATAGAAGAAACTAGAGCTTGCTTGTTTTTGCAGCTGTCATCTCAAGGTTGAGTAAAATACCTTCTGAGGTCTCTGGGAAAAGTTTGCAGGATGTTTTAGGATTGCAATAATAAACCAACTCAGTTATTTTTCACTTCCAACCGCTATGCTTTCCATGATCTCTGTCCCTTTTAAGTGTTTTCTGACATGCTTGTCAATGGAGGTTAACTGAGACCAAGTGTATCTTCTGAAATCCTTTCCCTTTCCAATATATTTCATTTTGCTTGCTGTCACCTGCCTGACTGCAAACTGGCACAAGGATGCTCATAAGCAAGTCAGATTCCACATGCCACACAATATTTGGTTCCTGAATGAGAGAAAGTACCTCAGAAAAGCGAACTTGCTGTAAAAATACCATAGCTGGACAGTAAAGAAAAAGCGAATGTCAAAACTCTCAAGCAAATTTTTAAAAAGGCCACCAGATATGATGTTTTTAAGTATACAGCCTACACGGGCTGCTGTGCTGTAATAGCCCTTCTGTTGGATATGGAGGTCCCAGCTGAGCCGCTGAAGCAGATCCAGCTGTTAAGAAAAAATTATTTTGAGATAATATCCAAGATAAAAGATATCTATAATAGGTTGTTTTTGCTGAAGAAATAGTCTGGGAAAAAATGACTGAAAGTCATTTAGTCTGAAATGTCTGAAAAAAAAATGACATTGCTATCATTTTTATGACTGTAACATCTAACAAGTGAGGTAAGTCGATGCAGAAACTGGCAAGATAAGGCATGATGGTTTCAAAGGGCGCACTTCTGAGATTTATCAGATCGAAACAATATGCAGAGGGTGTAGCATATGAACAGCTGTGACAGAATGTCATTTGATTCTCAAAGAATTGAATAATCTGGAAATCTGATCTAGTCAATGAGAATAAAAACTCTAGCTGCTAGCAAAGAGTAACTAATACATACTTCTGAATAAGAGCTACAAACAAGTTCTTGCTGGATCCAGTGAATTTTCCTGAAGATTTTGTTGAATTTACTATTAAGGGTGAGACAGTTCATACACTCAGGTGTTTTTGTGTTCCTGTCAGTAACCATAATGCAAAACTTTGAGGCATCAGAGACATGGAATAGATCCCAGAGGAAGTGAAATCAAAAGGCTATCTGATTTTCAAAGGGAAAAATAAAACAGTTTTGTTCTTTCCTATCACTTCACAGACACACAACGCCTAAGAGATGGGAACTGATTACTGTTGCAAGAGTTTTTAGCTCTTGTGAGTAACTTGATAAACCAAAAAGAGTACCAAAACAAAACTTGTATGTACAAGGAAATCATATGCTGACCTATCAAATTTGTAGAAGGGTGTCTGAGATCGAAATCAAATGTATAACCTTTCTACTGTCTGCTTAATATATAGAAAATGTATTAAGACTTGAGGTAACAACCTGTTACAGGTTCAGTTTTGAGATCTCCAGGTGTTTTAATTGAGATTAAATATAGTTAATTAGGATAGAGTATTTGTTCATGTAATCCTTTCACTAAAGGGAACAAAAACTGTATCTCCACAGAGTTTCTCTAGGAAACGGTGTGATTCTGCTGTCACATACAGTGATGTAAATCAGAGTTAACTTGAGTGAACTTTGTGGACTTCCTTGTGAAATAAAGGATTAAAAAAAAAAGTGTGAATAGTCAGGCACAGTTTTGTAGGTGAGGTGTTGTACCAGTTAAATGGAGGATGGACTAAATATTGTGTGTTCAGGTTTGCATCAGGGTGCAATATACATAATTTTTGAGAGAGGTTTAGCTTACAAGAATTTTGAAAGAGTGCATAATATTTGACTCCTTGTTATAGTCATAAAGATCAATTAATATGTTTATCATGTAAATTATTTATCATAAAGGGAAAAGATAAAGATTATTAAATGTAAAATAAAATAGAAGATACCCATGTTAAAGGCCCTCTGCAGTGGTTAAAGCCTATTAAAGTGATATGGAGCTGTCTGCACTCCCACATCAACTTGGTATTGATGTAATCGATGACTTAAAAATATCATTTAACATTAACTTGGTGACAATTTTTCAAGCTCTCAGCAAAATCCCTCCAATTTCCCTAGCATTCCATGGCATTTCATGAGAATTTGTGTGGATAAACTGGAATTGCAGAACGGAGTACATACTTTATCCTCTACTCACAGATCAGAATTGGGTCCAGTGGTTTACATGATAATCCGTACTTGCTAAGCTATTTTTTACCTTCAGCCTACAAAAGGACTGCCTGCTCTGCCGATCTTCCTATTATTTAGGTCTTGATGCTCTTGATGCTTTTCTGGTCTTCGGCCCATTTCCTGTCATTGGATTTCATTTGTTCAGTGAGGGCCAAAGGAACATCTGTCACGTGCCCTCCTACCTGGACCCACCATCCATCCCCTCGTTCTTAATTGATCCTAGTCTGAGCAGCCTCTTGGCTGAGTTTAGGTCGATTCTGCTTTTGACCAAAACATGAAGACCTCCAGCTCTACTGCTGAGACCTTCAGGAACTGTGATATAGGGAACATGGTTAACCTATTCCACACATTGTGCTACCACCCGCTCTCAGTTTCTCCTTTGTTAGGATCCTTCAGCTGCATTTCCAAGATGGTAGTGGGAAGCACACTCATGCACACACACTCTTTGAAGGCAAAAAAAAACAGAAAATCCACCCCAGGAAAACAAGCGCATAATGTGCTTGGGTTCACATCTGCCCCCAGGTTTAAATGACAGACTGATTTTCTACTAGCTGCTCTTTCAGCCACTGTGTTTTAGCTGGATGCACAGTTCGCGTCCTGCCCTGTCTTTCCTCTGTTCATCAACCCTAATCGTAGCTTGATATCTCTTACACTTTAGGCTCTGTCTAGACCCATTTTAATGACCTTATTACCTCTTTGAGATGAGAAGGTCTTACCTTCATGAGCTTTTAGCTTCCTGAGTACCTTTCTGTTTTCTTAAACCTTCATTAAGTATTTGCTGCTTAGCCATTTTCTTTTGAAGATTACTATTTTCTTTCCTTTTCCAAATTCTCTTGCTTCTCATTTACCTCACTTGCTTCTTTTCCAGTTGTGAGTGTCACATAGTTGAAATAATGTGCTGAACCAGCAAACAAATAATGGATGTTTATTTTCATTTGTTTTATTTTAATTTAACAGCATTCTTATTTATCTACTGTCAAGTTTTCATTATTGGTGCAAGTGATATTTGCCTATTTTACTAAATTCTTCACCTCCATTTAATATATTTTCAAGTTTGCAGTTTACTCATGCTGATCTCATGTAGAATTTGAGCAATTATTGCTGGAACGATCTGTTAAAATTTGCAAGTAGATAGAGGTAAGGGATTGCATTCTAATTTAATAATAGCCTAAAACAGGACAAATGATTCTTTTGCTGACTGCATTTGCATTGCATTTATTTTGACCTACATTTCTGCCTTTCTCAGGATAGCCCTTAACGTCTGTTCCCCTTTGTCTCCTGCCTCTTTATGGAAAAAATTGTGTGTTGATTTGTTCATTTACCAGTGGTGCTTCATCTCCGAAAGGCTATTTGACATCATTCTGATTTCTGTTATTTCTAAAGTTTCTACTTTTAGCTTGGTATTGGATAGGCCTTTCCCTAGTGGTATTAAAGACTCTTGAACCCTGGATCCAGGACAAAATTTTATCTTCTAGGGTATACTTCAGGTCTCTAATATTCATGCTTTATTTAGCCTATCATCCTAATCATTACTTCAATGTCAAGTTTGAGTAGCTGTGATCACATTTCCCCCTGTTATATGCCTTGTCCTACAGCAGTAGATTACCAAGGGAGAAATGTTTTTTCCCAAAAATGCTGTCCTCAATGCACCTCCGGAATCACTGCCCCTTTCTGTTTACTTTTTCCTGATTGATGAGAAAATTAAAACAAACTCTTCTGGAGAATTTCAAATCTCTCCTCATTGAGACTCCTGGCTTGATTAAGTGTTGATCATGTAACAGCTACTTGATCTACATCAGTGGTGATCACTCCCTCTATTTCTTTTTGGCCATAGAATACACTCTTTGATTTCATTCAGTTCTTGATGAACTTGAGTTGTCACATAAATGTGAGAATATTTACCCAAGGATGTGTTAGAGAGTTAGAAAAACTCTCTGTTTTAGAAAAACTCTGCTGTTGAAAGTTGCTGACAGATTTTTTTAGGAAACAACCACTAGGCTTAAAAGGCATTGACACTAAAAGCAAGAATAATAGTAATTTGTTACCTGCAAAAAATCTCTTGTACATTTTTAGGCATGCTGATTATCTCTTTACTTTGTTCATCACCATAACCAAGATGTATTAGGACTTTTCTCAGTATGGCTAGCAGTACTTGTTCATGCATTTCAGAACTGTTTTTCAGGCTGACTGCAGGCTCGGAGAGGAAGCTCGGGTCTAGAGGCTTTCTTTCAACCATTATTTGCTTCTAGAAGAAAAATGAGAAAGAGAGGGGGAAAAAAAAACAGCTAGGAAGAAAAATGGGTGCTAATATTCAGTGTGACTCTCAGGAGGCAAGTCCGTATGTGATTACTTTGATAGCAAAGCCCTTTTAAAAGCTTCTGCCCCTCCCAATCCTTCCAACCCCATTGCCACAATTTTCCGCTTCTCAATCCTGCTGATGCAGCTGTATGTGCTACTGCAGCATAAACCTGTCTAGGCAAACCTCCCTCTTTTTAGCAGAAGCAAATGGACTTACAGGACAGGTCAGATGGCAAAGGGGGCTTTTAAGTCCACATTTTAGAGCCCTCACATTAGTCTGTGTTGTGTTTACAGCCCTGAATACATGAGTTACTGTCGTCATTTCATACCTTTTTAGTATGGAAAGAATATTTAATTGCAAAGATTACTCACAGTGCTGTATTTTACTGCTTATTAATAGGCACGGTGATGACACCAAACTACATAGACTCGAGTAGTCTCAGCGTGGCCCCGTGGTGCGACTGCAGCAACAGTGGTAATGACATAGACGAATGCCAGAAATTTCTGAATTTTTTCCAGGACAACACATGCCTTAGTGAGTACAAAATTATAAGATGTCTTTAAATGTGTCTTATTGTGTTACCATTGTAAATGGTAATTGTATTGCCATTTAAATATGTTGTGATACATCAGAGAAATCTCTGTGCACTTTGTAAGCTTGGTTCTGCTGTAGGTGTAAGAACTAAAGCAGATAGGCCTGATTCTATGGTTTATGGTTAAAGATTGCAAACATGAGAAGCTGCTGAAAAAAAATCCAAATAACAAAAATGTATCATATAGAAAAATGTTTTCATCACAGATCATGTTTTGACCCCAGCAGCCAGGGAGCACCTGTACCAAAAAATTGAAGCCCCTGAGGGGCTTGTGTACAGTTTAAGAACTTCATATAAAAGAGCCATGTAGTTTATGAAAGATTTCCTGTAGGTAGGTATAAATTGGATTGTGTGTGTAATTTATGGCCAAGCTTCAGTTTTTTTAGGCCACTTGATCTCAAGTGCCTGTTTTCAGCATGAGTCTTAAATGGTACAGGTTTTCAAGATTTTGTTAACTTATCGATTTTTTTTCTTTTTTAACCCATTTCCAAATTAGAGGCTATTATAAATTTCAGAATGGCTCAGTGAAGTCGATTTTGGCAGGTTCCCTTTTCAAATTTCCTGTCTGCCTGGAGCAGCTTAATTAGATGATGTGGAGTTTTAACTTCAGATAAATGAGGAGACCCAAAAAGCTTGGCTTCCCTAGCCTAGCAGAACAAAAGTTGAAAGGGTACATGATAGTCCTCTGAAATTACATTACAGGGGAAAGCAAAGGGAGGGAAGAGAATTACTTAAGCTATAGGACAATGTTGGCATAAAATCAAACAGGGAGATATTGGCCACCCCTATTTAGGCTTGAAATTGGAAAAGTTTTAACCATCACTGTAAAGTTGCCAAACGGGCTTCCAGACGGAGTTTTGAGGAGAAAAATTCCTCTTGATTTAAAAGTCAAATTTCATCAGGTTATGAGAAGAAACATGCATTGTTGCCCTTTGCAGAAATAGGGAATGAACTCAGTAAAGAGTGTCCCATCCGGTTCTGTATACGTATGTCACTGCTGCTGCAGGGCTAAGTATGCATTTTAGGATAGAATCTAAAAATCTCTGCTCTTAAAGTAAGTGACCTGAATCACCATTTTATTTAGTAAGTTAGGAAGTTTTAGAATATTGAAAGACTAATTAAGATCATTTAATTACCAGAAAAAAAAAATCAGACTTCCTTCAATCCTACCAGTGCTGCCTTTTGTATATAGTGCCGTACTTGAGGTTTTATTCATCTGTGAATGTATTACTATCATGCTACAGATTCCTTTTAGACCTTAAAGACACACTAGTCCTTTCTCCTCTCTCTTATTGCTTTAATGAAGACAAATCAATGACTTCAGAGGTCACTGCAGGACAAATGTAGTCCTCAGCCTATCAGAGACCTCTTATTCATAAAGAAACTAAAGGTGCTTCTGATTTAATAAAAATGTACTTACCTTCACAGGGAAGGGGAAAAGAACAATTTATTTTTGTTATTGTTGTTGTCATTAATAGCCTTTCAATGTTTTGTAAAAAATGGCATTTGTTTATTGGCCAAGGAATTAAAATCTGCCTCCTCCCCCCCTTTTTTTCTGACCAAAAAATATCTTTTTCCGCAATTGGATGAAACTGGCACCTTTGGGAATTTCTTGTTGCACTTTTTTGCTGGTTATCGTTTGGAAGTAAGCCAGCGATTTATGGCATGTACAGAAATTGTGGGAAATGTAGCTTAAATATTTATTCCAAAAGTTCCACATGAACATTTAGTCCTGGCCTTTCTTGTCTCTCTATATGCTGTTGCCCAGAAATTCCACTTCAGAGTAGAAGAGACTTTTGCAACAGAAGATAAGTTGTAAATGGAGTTAAAATTTTACTTTTGAAAAGTTGATGTGAAAATGCTAGCAAAAATTTCAGTTTCAGTGTCTAGTGGCAACAAAATTAAATATGGTGTTGAAGTATGTGGCTTTTCTGGTTACCTAAGTTTGAGAATGTGTGTCTGTGTGGGCTTGCAAAATGGGTCTTGTATCACAACTGCGGAAGTGGCTCAGAAAACAAAAGTGGTTCAGTTTTGCACAGAAAAAATCCGGACCAATAGAGCACAAATAAAGTACACTCCAAGCTAAAATTGGGTCTGTATATTACCTCACTTATACTTCTTTTTCTGTTTATTAAAAGATGCAAGTTTGCTGAAAATATCACCATAATCCTAATTACTGCCTCTATAAGTATGGTGTGTGTACTTCAAATTTTGAAAATCCATTTTAAGATTTTATTTGCATTCTAACAGTGTGTTCATTTTTCAGTTATTCTAATCCCTATAGCCTAATCCTACAAATGTTTACAATACTGTAGAATTCCTACTGAACTGAATGAGAGACAAGATATTTCAATGGGTTTTGAAGGATTTGTTCACACCTGCTTTATATTGATATAGATAAAAAGAAAAATGGCAAATGGAAGGAAAAGCACAAAGCAATGAGTTAGCAGAGGGTATTGAGAGAACCCTTCATTAGATTAGTTAGATGTTTGAAGCATATTTTTACAGTCATATGGTATTTTGTAGATATATATGAGGAATGTGTTTAAAAAAATACTATGACAGTATGAGACCAATGAAGATATAAGTAAAGATAATCATTTTTGTTGAGAAAGGTGAAAGACTGTATGTGTTTTTGTGATTATTACAATAATGGAAATACTGTTTAATTTAGGAAACCATTTGGGGATTTATGAATATTTTTGTGTGGAATATGTTGCTTTATATATATATATATATATATATATTTAGGTAGAAACAGTAAAAATATCACTCAATTGTTCCCATTTTTTCTCCATCAAGCTAACTAATTGTGGTGCCTTTTATAAATCTATCTCGGTGCTTGTTGGAGTTCTCAGAACTAATATTAGAATAAAATACATCTTTCTCTAATGAGAATTAAATGTAAATTATTTTATAAGGCGAGGAATGCCAATGAGAAGTAGTATTAATAACTTCCACATATTAGTCCCCAGTGAAATTGTTTGATTTCTTATACAATGAATTGGAAATAAGAAATCCCTAAATCCATGCTGAATCCCCAAAGACCTGATTAAAAACTATTTCCCTATTTGTTTATAGAAAAGCAACCAATTTATTCTTGCTGTAACCACACTCTTTAATCCCATGAAACTGTGAAAGCTTTTTAACTTTTATATTCCAAAGTTCTAGTTGAAGCATGCTTCCCCTCACCCTATTATGCAGATTTTGGTTTAAAATTGTAAGGAGAAGATTGTCTTAGTTAAAATATTCTGTAGTTACAGATATACTGTTTTAATAAAATAAGCTTTAGAAATTGTTATTTTGCCTGCTGTCTGTTTGTAATTTGCTATGTAACATCACCTGTTTGAGTCAGGACGTAACATTCAAAGTAAATTTTAAATCTCAATAGTAAATTCTGTAGATTTTTAGATAATAGCAAACATGATGAGTAAGTTTTATAGCTTATGTCAGGAACGACTGAAAATATTGCGCCAAAGATGTTGTATCAGATTACATCTCTTATTATTACTTATTATTACTACTACTTATTACAATTATGAAACCTCATAGTTTATGTTTGTGATGCATCAAAAATCAATTCACTTTGCAAACTAAAAATTTATTTTTTATACATCAACGTTTTCCATGGAAAATATTATTACATTTACCTGTACTCTCTAGGTTAAAAAAAATCAGTTCTGCTTTCTGACTTTTTTTTAATAAGTCAGAATTTATCTGTAATGTATTTTTGCAGAAAATGCAATTCAGGCCTTTGGCAACGGTACTGATGTGAATGTGTGGCAGCCAATCCTCCCTGTACAGACCACTACAGCCACAACTACAACAGCTTCCAGACTTAAAAATATGGGTTCAGAGACCACCAACAATGAAATACCAACTAATAATGATTCGCCAGCATGTGCAAACCTGCAGGTAAGAGAGACGTGTAATTGCTGCAGTGCATACAAGAAAATTGTTCATATGTTTAGAGTCATCTATTGTTGCATAAACGCAATGTACTTTGGTTCAAAATATTTGATTATTCTGCCGTTGTAGTTACAAACTTGATATGTTGTAAAATAACAGAGACTCATATTTCCGGTAAAAAAATATGCATATTTCAGAGTGGGTTCTATTGGCGCCATGTCTCAGAAGCAAGACATATGATTTAATCTGTTATCAGAGTTTTGGATATGAACACTGCACTCTGCAAGCCAGCATAGGTCTGCCAGGGTAGGTCAGATAAAAAGGATCCTCTGCATAATTCAAAATCAAAGATAAGTCTTATTGTCATGCTGCCTTCTTCCAGCTACTTTGTTTTCTTAGTGCAAATAGACTTTCCTCCTTAGGTTGAGTAGCTGTGGATAGTGGGGAATACTGGGTGCCCCAAACTACATGGTGCAGAAGCTGGACCAAGAAACAAAAGCTGTGCTGGTTCAGGTACTTTTTTGAATTGGACTCAAAATCCTGATCAAGTTTTGGACAGTGAGTGCAGCTGTATCCCTTGGCATTTCACTCTGACAGTTTGTGATATGCAATTGTGGTTATTAAAAGGGGCTAGCCACTTGCTGAAGGCAGTGTGTGCAGTTTTTGGAAAGCCTGGAGAGTTTGGGCTGGAAAGAATGGCAAAATCTAGGCAGAAAAGAGCAAAAGGCCAAAGGAAGTATAAACAGAAAGCATTTTTAGGCCTGAAGGCTGTAGAAATCCTGTAGAAATTATATCACATTAGGTCAGGAAGAGATCAATTTGGCTGATTTTTGATTGTATCTTTGCAGAAGGACAATTCCTATATGGTACTAATGACAGTCTCAAAGTTTTAAAAGTTTCATCTGGTATGAAAATACCTTTATCTTCAGTTTGTATACACTTATGCACTTGTCTTTTTATGAGATACCATTCATATTTCACTTGATTATAAAACATTTGATTCTATACTCTAGATGTTGTAAACAGTATCCGAGTTTCCACATTCACTTCAAGGAAGAGTTCATATATCCCAGAAATGTGCTTGGCTTCTTCGTTTTCCTTCGCCACTCTGACATCTTAATCCTTTTTTTTTCATTTACTTTGCATACCACACTGGCAAATTTCATTTGAATTAACACTCTGCACTGGCATTACTGAAGTCACAAAGTATATGGGTTTGTGGTAGATGGTGTTAAGTTGTTTAATTTCGATTCTATTTTTGCATAACTATACTCACTATCAGCTAGGCTTTGTGAGCTATTGATCTGAGCGTGATAGTTGTAGGCACAGCATTTCCATATGAATAGCTGTTTAACTAGAAAAAATTAGACTAAGATAAATTTAACCTTTTAAACCTGGATCTTGGAACATCTTGTGTTTAAAACAAGGACTTGATGAGATATTATTAGCTCACTTCATGTTATATTAAAAAGTTGTTTTATGGCAGAAATCTTGTTTGCCTCCAGTGTTTGTACAGTCCCTTGTAGAATACAGCCTCCAGATGCTACCAAAGTACACATGATAAATAATGAACTGAAGAAATGACAAGCAATTACAAATCCCATTGGTTTCCATTTGACTTGCAAATGTTCCACAGTCCTGAATATATGTCCAAGTGTTCTGAAAATGAATAAAATTATTTCCCCACCTTACTTCTGATCCTCCAGCATTTTAAAGTCACATCTCACCTCAAACCTCAAATATACCTCTGTTAGACTTGATCAGTAATGAGTCAGGAAATAAAGGATCTTTGGGGAAAGTAACTTTATTTAAAGAAATGATACACTGGTTTATAGAAGCTATAGAGATAGCTGAACTGGAAGGGCACCACAGTTTTGTGAATAAGCAGTTTTATTCTTGGGAAGTGCGACATGCTGGTGCTAGCTACTTCTCTGTGTCAGAACTGGAATACAAAGAACACAGCTTTTATATTTTATTGCATTTTTCAAAAAAAAATGCTTACAAATAGAGCCAAGCCAAGCTCTCTTCTGGCCCTTTTTGGAAAAGGGCTCCTTGGGCAGTATGGTGCCTCATTGAATGTGAGACTTGAAACCTCAGTTCAAATTTTAGAAAAGAACTGGAGACACTTGAACAAACATACTCATTCTAAAATTTTCCTCCCATGAAAAATAATTCTTTTTTAGTATTTTCAAAACATGCCCTTGTACTACCAAAACCAATCCGAAAGGCTTTGAGATACGCTTAGCATTTGAGCTGAAAGATTTCAAAAAGGGAATATAGCCTAAATATTGTGAAAAGTAGTATTAAAAGCATTTGCCTCTATACAAAAAAGATAGTGACAGACAAGGGAGAAGGATATTATTGTTGAGATGGTTCAAGGCTGCTTATCATAGTTAGTGGATTTGAAAAATACAGTAAGGGAGGAAAGAACAAGAAGTGATTGATTAGTACAAGTAGCCATAGAAATAAATACAGTAGGGGAGGAAAGAGAAAGACGTGATTGATGAGTATAAATAGCCACAGAAACGAACAAATACTAACCTCCTGGGGTTGTAAAATACAGGGCATTAACTAATCTGCCAAGAGTGTCACCAGCTGAGCAATTTTTGATATTTTTTTTCTGACTTGTTCAAAATGGTCGTATGAGAAGCTTGAATAGACTGAAAAAGAGTGCACTAATGGTTTTGTCACTGTGCCTACCAACATACCTGGGAATCTGGAAGGGTTATGCGCGCGTAAAGAAAATACATGATGCTTGTTCACCAGAAATCAGTATGTGTTTGAAACACATCATTTTTGCTTCTGTGATACTGTTTAGAAGTGGTTCTTCATTTAAAATTACCATTGTTACAAGCATTTTCAGGTCCTACCACTATTTTCCTGCTTCACACTGTTGCAGTGTGAAGAAATATGTTCGCTTCTAATACATGCTCATTTTGTGTTTATATATTAATTACTTTCTATACTATAATATACTATTCTACTATTTCTATCCCCAAATGAAGTCAGTCCTCCATCTTTTCCAGAAGGATGTTTCAACTTCAAGAAGCATCTTATAAACACTTTTATACATTTTTATAAACCATTAAGAAAGTTTGATAATGACAGGCAAAGAGTAAATAATGGTTACCTTTATATAAAAAAAAATTCAAATGTTTTTTAAGATGCTAAACATCATGCAAAGCATGATCATCGAAGTGTAAAAATAACTGGTAAGCTATTTTATCCCCCCAAAAAGAAGGAAAATCCCAGCAATGTCATCCTTACACGAACAATTTCTATTAAGCAACTGTCATCCCTATCTTTTCTCTGATAGCTGCTCTATAATATGTTCTATTTAACTGATATTCTGTTTTTCCTTCATTCTCAATCATTACGTGCGTTTGACACTCCAGTCCAAAAAGGTTTTGGTTTTTCAATCTTGCATTCTACCACCGCTGCTTGATCTATCATACTGGCTTATTTGAAAAAGACAAAAGGATGAGTTTGGCAGTGGACTCCACTAAAGTATTCTTCAAGAAAACTACTGTTCTGCACTTATGAGAGGTGCAGGGAACTGAAATAGCGTAATAATATAAATTTCAAATGATAGATTAGAGTAGATTTGACTAAATGTTATTATAACATCATCATTGATAAATAGAAAGTGCAGGCCTTTTTTTATGGGGATTGCTATAATAATTTAGACAACATTTTGAACAAGACTCAAAATGCTAGAAATTGCTGTGGTTAAGGACACTTCAGTCTAACTTTGTGTGTCAAAATCTATCAGCTCCCTAGCCAGTTCTGTACCCTCTCATATCATATATTTTCTAAGTGTGATCTAGCAAACCTTAATTCAGCGTTTAGGGAATTTATGATTTCTGTGCATCTGAAGAAATGTGGGCAATGGGCACAGATAGAACTGAGATGCATGGCCCTTTAGGTTGAAGGTGTATGTTTCACAGTTAAGTCCAGAATGTGGTCATTTTTTGTATTCTCAGCAGGAAAAAAAAAAAGAAGAAGAAGAAAAAGAAGATAGGAATTAACACAGATATTTTGTAGAGATCAAGAAGGAAAAGAAAAATGTAGATATATAAGTAGGTGTATTCTTTTTATTTTCTTGTATGATTAGTGAGCCTTTAGAATACAAGTGGGATATTTCAAACTGTTCTTTTCAGAATTTTTCTTCCTTCCTCAGAAGGATTCCCACAAATTCACATAATTTCAGAACCTTAAGGACTTTTAACATCTTTCTCATAACTTCAAGAAAAAAATCTGTCATGGGAAGTCATAGGACTAGAACAGGAGACAGAGCTCACAGTTCTCTGAGGAGACAAGGACTTAAACATGGTTCGTATATAGAAAATGTCTGTGCTTTTAGCCTGCTGTAGGTGTAGGTGCTGCACATCCTTGGCCCTGGGTAAGGATGTGCTAATCCTGGCTTGAAACGTTGTCTGTAATTACTTAATGTAGCTACCTGTGTGCTAAATATTGTTATTATAAATGTGTAGGTGTTAGGAGAGGGTTAAAAGCCTCAATGGAATGCTCTGAGGATCAAGTCCCAGCAGGGGTAGAGCTTCATGGATTGGTAATTGGGTGGTGGATGAACATAAATAGGAAACATGGGCAGTACGTAGGTGTTCTGTTGATGAAGGACTGATCCAATTGCTGAAACAGTACTCTGGAAGAAAGTCCAAGTGGACTTTAGAGCACCAGTCCTAGCTATTCGATATGGCTGGCACCCTCTTTCCTTGCTCCCTTCATTTAGGCTGTGATCTTTACATTTCTTTTCTGTTTTGTGGAAAACAAACATTCTGCTTTGAAATGCCCTTCCCTTGGGAGATGACTTACTTGGGCATCTTCCACCAGACATTGTACCTATTCAGGAACTTTCAGCCCGGGGCAAAAGATTAACAGAAATATAAGACATCCATTGCTGTTCCAAAACAAATTGTGAAAAATGAAAAAAAAACAAAAAACAAAAACAAGTTAGAATAATGATTAGATGTTTCATATGAGAAGATTTAAATTTACCTCCCCTGTTTCCTGGATTAGCTGACATAATGGGGACAGCCTGCTGGCACAAGTGATTTACAGAATGCCTATT